TCTGTCCCTAGGAGGAGGGCTGCCCCCAAAGACCATGCCTGCTTCTCTCTCTTCCCAGCAAACTGCACCCTTACAAAGGCAATCTGCCAGGTCCAGCACTGAGGTGCCCAGCTGGGCAAGTGTGACTAGGGTGAAGGCTCAGGAGGAGAAACCCACCCCCTGCAGAGTCGAGTCACATGCCTCACATCAGCTTTCTGAGGAACAGAGGTGATGGTTGGCATCTACCTGCTGACGTTTTAACCTTTGTCAATTTGTTCGGAACCTGGGAGGGGAAGAAATGCTATTTAGTGGGCTCCCTCAAAAACCCCAACACATCTCCCTTGTAATTTGGCTAATCAAGACACCTGCTATGGGGGGACCAGCAGTTAGTGTAATGGCTATGTCGCTGGACTCCCATGTAGTCGACCGTGGTTCAAGTCCCAAACCCGGTGGCTTAAACTCATGCTGGGCATGTGTGCGTGCGTGTCCAAGATCCTGAGAGGAGAATGGAGGAGAAGGGATCGCTGCGTGGCCATCCCCCTCGGGGGGTGATTTCTCGCTTTCTGCCTCTCTGTCTCTCTCTGTCTTTCTGGCAAGTGCCCTATAGCAAAAACCTCTCAAAAATAAATAAATAAATAAGACACCTGCTATGGGTAGAAAAAGGAAATTCCAGAAAAAAGTTCATCAGCAGCACATGCCAGGCCTATGGCATACATTGCCCAAGAAATGGCCGGAAATCCATCCCTCACGCTGGGGACACCCACCCTATAAGAGATTTGTCCTGAAAAGTAAAACTTGCCCTACAGTCCATTCCCACTGTCTATGGGAATATCTAAGCTTTATCGTACTTTTCATAAAGGCCAAATTTAAGTGTTTACAGCAGCTGTTACTTGAAATATGAGCAATAATCCTTAGGTCAAGGGGAAGATACAGTGTTGACATACGGTGTTGAAAGTACACTCACCAGAAACAGCTACAGACACGGCTCAGATTAACGTACAACCCTCTCGTACCAAAAGCATCAGATTGCATCGATGCCACCACCAAAGATCAAGCCATTGAACGGCGTGCCTGTTTGGTGGGAAAGCATTGAAGAGGCTTCAAGGTTTGGGTAGAGCAAGCATACCCCAAACCACACTGGGGTGGGTGGGCCCCATGCTCTGAGTCCCATTTCCCACGTGCCCATAGCCAACATCAGAACAGAAAGGGCTGACAAGAGGCAAACTTACGTGTTCCCTCATCTCGTTGGCCACGGTCTTAGACATCATGATGCAGCAGAGGAGGGCAACGAGGATGAAGTAGAGTGTGTACATGAAGCGGGTGCTCCGGGACTGTCGGACCTTGGGGCAGCAGCCACAGCAGAGGGAGCAGCCCGCAGACCCACAGCAGCAGGCCAACTGCAAAAGGACACAAATCATCCTTAGCGCATGAGGTTAAGATTATAGTAAGAAATATATATTTGCGGCTAGCAGGTAGTAGGATGTATAAGGTGCTGGACTCCCACATGGAAGACTGTAGTTTGAAACCCAGACCAGCAGCTTGAACAACATACATGTGCCCTAAATCTTGAGAGATGAAGGGATTCTGGCATGGCCTTCCCCCATGAGGGGTGATTTCTCACTTTCCCTCTCTATGTCTCTCTCTGGCAAGTGCATGCACACTATGGCAAAAAACTTCTCAAAAAAAAAAAAAAAGAAAGAAAGAAAGAAAGAAGTATATATTTGGTCTTCATTCCAGATTCACAGCATAAGAGCTTCTAAAACTCCTAGAATTTTCTAAGTAGTAAGGGTGAGAGGAACATACTATGTTATTCATAAGCAGCCTTTCTCTACCATATCTTGATCTATGCTAATGAGGCAACTCTTGATAGGGTCCTGGATAGCTTCAGGATAGGGACTGGCTGTCACTGGAACCAACCATGTGATTTAGAGGGTTGGAACTTACAGCCCCCTCCCCTCATCATGAGGGAGAGGAAAGGGACTGGAGGTTGAATTAACTCAATGGCCAATGGTTTAATTAATCATATCTATATAATAGCACCTCTATGAGAAAAACCCTAACGAATAGAATTCAGAGTTTTGGACTGGTGAATGCATCACGTGCTCGGAGGTTGGTGCACCCAACCTCATGGGTTTAGACGCTGTGCTTTGGACCCCTTTGGACTTCTGATACCTCCTCACCTGACTATTCATTGCATCCTTTGTAATAAACTGATAATTAAAGAATTTTCTTCAGTTGTGTGAGCCATCCTAGCATATTACAAAATTCAAGGAAGGGGCATGGCCATCCCCATCTTGCCTCCCACCCCCTCCATTTATAGCTGGTCAGAAGTGTAGGAGGTCAGGACTTGCAACTGGCATCTGAAGTGGGAGCCATCTTGTGGAACTAAGCCCTTAACCAGTGAGTTCATTCGGTAATTTCATTGCTGTGCAAACATCATAGCAGGTACTGATGCAAACCTAAGAAACCTCGGTTATAAGTGGTGTAATGTTATGGGACCACTGTGGTTACCTTCAGTCCACTGAAATGTCGTTATGTGACATGTGACTATAAAGTATTGTAGGATACTCAGCTGGTGTCATGTACTGAGCCACTACTTACAAACATATTCACTGTAGCCTTCTGTAGTGGCCCTGACCACAGGCAGGCAGGAAGTGCCGTGAGAACAAAGCTTATATCAGAATTGGTCTGGTACTTTCTTTAATGATAAGCACTAATGGCTTGGGAGAGGTTCAATAATTAAAGAGAAAAGACACAGTTCATCTGTGTTCATCTGTCTCTTAAAACAAGATTTCTGAGGTCAGCTAAGAAAAGAAGTCAGTAAGTAGAAAAGGACAAAGTGAGGTGGGAAGAACACAAAAAATAGTGTCCAAGAAAGTGCCTTGTCAAAATCCATGAGCTGGGCCAGCTGATGGCGAAGGGGATAGGGTGGCTGGATCCCACATGGCTGACCTCGTAGTTGGAGTTCCGGGCCCAGCGGCTTCAGAAACATATCAGGCATGTGTATCTGTGTGTGTGTGTGTGTACCCAAAATCCCAAAATAAGGGGGAAATGGAGGAGACGGGATTGTAGTGTGACCATGCCCCATGGGACAGTGTTTTCTGACACTGTCTTTCTCTGTCTCTCTCCTGCAAGTACATGTGCCCTATGAGAAAAATCTAAAAAGAAAAAACGTTTTTAAAAAAGAAAAAAAAGAAAAAAGAAAAAAATCCATGAGCCTAAAAATGAATTGTATAAGCACCCAGGGACATGCTTGGGTGGGGAAGGCCATGCCTGAGCCATCCACCTTTGCAGGAATCAAAGGGAGTATGTAGTTCATAATTTGAAGCTCAACAATAAGTGCCTCCACCTGCACTGTTTGCAGAGCTTCGAGCTAGTGCTCCCTGTTGTAAGCGTACACCTTTCATTTGAGGAAACTAGGACTTTAGTAAAGCATAGGGCAACAGAGGATAGCAATTAAAAGCTCAGGCTGGAAGGCAGTCCGCCTTCGTTTGCAGCCTGGCTAACACCTACGGACAGGGACCATGATCAAGTTGTTAGTATTTACCTTTGCAAGATTCAGTCTCCTTATTTATAAAGTGCAAGTGGCAACAATATTTATGTTCTGGTCTTTGGGGCTACCTAATCAAACACATCTGGTGTCAGAGAGCGGGATCTCTGTAAAGTAAAAGGGAGTTCTACAGAAGAAGTGACCATCAACTAGAAATTACAACCAAACCTTTACGTAGTCACACTACCCTAAATAAAAGCCGAAACCTAACAACGCAATCCCTTGGTCGTGGCTTGTAAGGAGATTCGGAACTGCGCAGGGCTTACCAACAAGCATTAATCAGAATGCTGCAGCACAAACATCACTCACGATGAGAGAAGACCACAGGTATGGAGGTAAGACCACAAATCATAATAACTGCATGACGACCCTGGGAAATGCAGTCATCTGCCAGATTATCTCATCGACTTCATGAAACTGCCACGGGCTGAGCCCTCGGTCATCCTGTACTGTCATCACTTTAAATTTTTGCTAATGTACCCTCTCCAACTTACAAGCCATCTTCAAAAGATTGTACTTGACTCACAGGAGTAGGTGTCTACTTTGCAAAAGAAGTTATTGGGCTGAGTTGAGTAAACAGATCCCACAAATGGGATTCAAACATGACTGCTTCCTTCATAATTCACTCATTCATATTCTCAACCTCTGCTTTTACTGACCTCTTTCCACTCACATGTCCAAATTTCACATACAAACACACACCCCTCTCCCATCCCATTCCCCCTGGTTTAGATGGCTTTTAGGGCCCTGCCTCCCTCCTTCTCTGCCTCTCACAACTGGCTCCTTCACTGGTTGTTAACCTTTCTTAATACTATTATTTTTTAGTTTTTTTTAGCCATAGGGCATGTGGAGAGAGATGGAGAAAGGAAAAATGAGAAATTACCTCCACCCCAGGGTGGTGGTGGTGGCAGGGGGAGATGGCCATGCCACAATCCCCTCTCCTCCTGGAATTTTGAGCATGCATGCACACACACATGCACCCAGCATGATTTTCACACCACAGAGTCCAGGACTCAAATGGCTGTCAGCCATATGGGGGTCCAGGGCCTTAACCACCATGCCACCTGCTAACACCCAGGTTGTTAACTCTTTAAGCCATGTGGTTTTAGATAAGACTCACTGTAGTGGAGCCAGCAGGTGTTGTGGTGGTTAAGGATGCTAAACTCCCACATGGTTGATCATGGTTCAAGTCCTGGACCTGGCAGTTTGCTTTCTCACTTTCCCTCTCTCTCTCTCATTCTGCCCCTCTCTGGTTGAATTAAATAAATAAATAAAGTTAAATAATTAGAAGCAGTTAATGCCTCCCACAATAGAGGTCTGCCACAGTAGAATCAATACTTAAACTTATTATCTTTGGCCAAGGAGATGGTGGGGTACCAATGGACTCCCCCAGCAAGGTGCTGGGTCTGTGACCTGCACACCGGGCACACACGCATGTGTCTGTGATACAGGCCGACTGAGACTGGGGTGGGGGGGACGGCTCGGCGCAGGGACCCTGTTGGGGATGACTGTCTCTGTCTGCCAGCCTGTCTCTTTCGTATGGAAGAAACAAACTTACAAACAAACAAAACTCACTATCTCCATGGAAGGGAAATGAACAGATACATACATAATGAATTTAATTGGTCTTTCCAAAGAGAGATGATTGCAGAAAATGTGAAAAGAAAGGCATGCTAGTTTAATCCTATTGTAGCATTAAAGATGTATATCATTGCATAGATCTGATTCTTCAAACTTTTCTTACTTTTTGCTTTTCTTCTATATAGTGCTACAGTATTAAAAAAACGGTATGTGTGTTTATATGTGCTTATCTTATATATATGTATATGCATAGATATATACACACCCAAATTTGTTCTTCAAAGCAAAGTATGCTAATAACCAGTGTATAAGCACATTATCTTAGGCTAAGCATTGGTAAGTACACCAACTGTACATTCAAAGAGCACTGGTAAGAGAAATGTTTATGTCAGCATCCAGGACAATCTCAGAGCCTGCTGTCTGACCAACTGTTCCTAGAACAGCGTAACTTAGGATAAAATGGGCTCACGTCTAGCCAGTGTTTCTGACTATACTTTGGGCATGCCACTCCCTCTTCAAAGTGGAAAAACCTGTTCTCGGGCAGCCTAACTTCCCTGGCTGTCATAGGCTTGGAGAGAAATGCCAGTATCTCCTTAGACCTGGCTTCAGGTGGTGTAACACTTTCATTGAACAAGCCAAGGTATAAAATACAAGCAAATGCAGAAACACGAGAGTGAACCATGTCAGAGCAAGTTCACCCCCTGTAACAAATGCCACTCTGGTCGGAGATGCAGCCAATGGGGTGTCCACCTTCATGCTTGGGTCCAACCTTCATGCTTGTGAAGGTCTGAAGGTCGGGGAGTGCACAAGAAATCTCTGAGCCTTCCTCTGCAGGGAATCTAAAACTGCTCTAAAAGACAATATATCCTTTAAAGAATAAAAAATAAATGAGCAAAACAGTGCCTTCCCATCCACAGCTCACCAAATGGATACTGAATGAATAATGTATGGTAAAGCCATAATGGAAATACTCCTCTAAGCAGCCAGCAGTCCCGCTCCATGGAGCTGAGCTCCCAAACTGCGTACTGCATTCTGAATTCCACATGCCAGCATTTTATCACAAATATTAGGGGTTTTCACTTGTAGATACAGCACACTCTTCTATATAAAATTATTATGCACTCAAAAGGGAGTCAGACACTGTCTGGAGGGCAACTTCTGCAGATCTTCTAGAAGTTCGTTTTACAGATACTCTTACACAAAGGCAGAGATTCAGGTATGAGGATGTTCATTACACCGGAAACAGCTCTATTTTCAGCCTTGTTC